TAGTCCAACTCATTACGAATACACTGTTAACTACCTTTTTCATCTGAACAATGTGCAATGTGGAAAATTCCAAAATTGAAATATAAAAAAGGTTATAAACGCTAGCCTTGTTGTGGGTGACCATTTTGTGGTTGCCCCAACTGTGTGAGTTGTTGATTAGAACCTCCTGTCATTCCTGGACCAAGAGACATAGATCCAGGACCCATCGGACCACTTGGTACTATCGGTGGACCTCCAGGAACTAACTGAGGTCCTGTTCCACTCATTTGCGAAGATGCTGAAGGTACAATCGGAGGACCACCTTGCATGCCACTCATGCCTGGCCCGCCAATGTGTCCAGGACCCAAAGATTGCATCTGGAGCTGAAAAAAGGAAACAGTTATACCGTCGTCCTTAAATGAAACGATAGTAAATGATAGCACCATGAAGTTGAGATGTTAGTGAGACTAACCGATGATAGTTGGAATAAATTTATAAATATATGGAAAAATAAACGTCAAATACACAAAAATCAATAAAGATCCCCACTAGAGTTAGTTACAATTCCACATAAACAGAGCATCTGTAGTATTGGTTAACTATGTCGCATTTAATTTCATTCTAGCAAAATTACTTTGATACATGGACGGCACGTCCTCACTTGTTGTGTGGGCCCTAGAGCAGCTCGTTTCTTTCTGCTCAACTTCGGAGCCAAGTCGCTCAGCATGTCGATTTCCCGAACTAGATATACATAAGTGGAGCATTCGGAGAAATTTGTTCCGTTGAGCGTGGACATATCCATCCTTCTTTATTTCACATGACGGAAGGTGGAAGTGGCTATCGAAGAGATCTGAGTAGTATTCATGAATGATTTTCTCCATTGCATTCCTGCACGCTGTAACTGTTCCGTCTGGGCGTCGTAGTGCAATCATCTTGGTTTTGTAATTAGGGAAGCTTCGGTAGGCTCTGCGAATGCTTTTCCCAGCCTCTGCGGCTTCGACCATCAATGCTGCTCTTCTCTCTTTAAGATCTTCTTTTATCGCCTGCCTTCATTGTTTTGCAAGTTTGTACGTTAGTTCGCGGCTGCCTGCGACTCGCCCGATTCCACGCTGACGTGTCAGCTCGAGAGTTTCTGGAGTCAGGCGCCTCTTGGTGAATTTCGAACTCTCAGCTTTCATAGCGCTAACGTGAAGATGCTGAATGAGCTGATCGTATTCCTCGCCGCTGCTATCGACAACAGCATCTTCTCAACAGCCGAGTGGTGAGTTGAATAAGTTCCAGTTTATAGTGGTTTTGGGATTTCGTTTCTTGAATTTAGCGGTTTTTTCTCCTTTCCACGAGGAATAGAATCTTGCACGAGGAAGACGATGGTCTGATCCCGTGTAGAATTTTGCGACAACAACATCATCGGTTTGGTAAAACCTATTCACTATGATCTAGTCTATTTCGTTATGGTACTCTCCATTGGAAGAAGCCCACGTACAGCGTTGAAGGCAGAGCTTTTGGAATTGTGAGTTACTATGGATGATCTTGGTCCTCACCATGATAAACTCAGAGAACCGCTCACTCTGTTCGTTCCATTCTAATCTGTGGCTCCCAATGTCACCTTTCCAGACGTTCTTCTTGGTCCAACCTTGGCGTTAAAATCTCCAATGATGACCTTTAAGAATGTATGGCCTTCTCTGCAGAACTTCTTCAGGTTCATATAGAACCTTTCGACTTCTTCTTCATCATACTTTGATCTCTGTGCGTAAACGACGAAGATTGTCAAAGCCGGTATTGATCCACATCTTCCTAAACGTAAACGCCATATTCGGGTTGTTAGTTGTCGGAATGGATGGATCAATGTTCATGGGCACCCGACACTCCGACACCGCTAACTCCTCTACCGTCACATGCTCCGAGGAACAGTTCTTCTCCGGTGTCACAGATGGCGTTGAAAGGCTGGCATCTCCTCGTCACGGCCAGACCGATGACGTCGTACTTTATCCTTCTTGCTTGCATAAGCAAGTCTTCTATCGACGACTCGGACGCAAGTGCGCGTGCATTATAGGTACAAATCGTCACCATAGTTCTTTGTAATCCAGGCAGCTCCCATTGACCCTGAGATTTCAGGAGCCTCTCCGTACTTGCCCTACCCAACGCTGCAAAATTGGTGGCTCTTTTGGAGTTAGGGGAATGAGACCCTTTTTTTGTACTGTTTTGCATTTTGGTACCCACGTATAGCTTGGTATAGCTTGCTGGGTTCTGAACGTGGGGGCTGGGTATAGTCACGTGTAGCTTACCAGGCTCTCCCAGAGTGGACATGGAGCTTATTTGTTGGAGGCGAGTTTTAACCGCCTCCCATATACTTCCCAGTTACTTAACTGCAGGCTTTTGGCCGAATTGATTCGTAGAATACAAACCGCATAAGCGAGTACGCACCCACAGACACATGCATGAATACGCCTAGCAAATACAGAAAGTATGTGCCAAATCAGCGCAGCAGAAACAGGGAGTCCATCTCCTGGATCCACCTGCGCCTCACGGAAGCAAAGGTCGCTTTTGGTCCGGATTAACTTCCTATCCGCCACCTAGGGACGCGCCACTCAGCCTCGCGACTAACCGGTTCGAGATCCCTCATATGAGGGAGATCCGTGAGGAGATAATCAAAATTAGGAACATTAAAATGAACAACTTGCAGTTATGTTATGGAACAAGTGTACAATTTAAATAGTGGATTTCAAAACTTGTACTTTTGAAGTGATCAAAAGGTATGGGAAATGAAAAATGGTGATGTTAAAATACATGAAAGAATTGAAAAAAATTTACGTTTTAAAAGACTGAGAAAAGTTAAAAGAGGCAGCAGGAGTACTGCGGTAGGTATTTCGTCCAATGCTATGCTCAAGGCTCTGGTTTGACTTCATACAAAGTCAACCAAGCCTCCCATCCCTTCCAGGACATTAAATTACCACCAGACTTGCCTTAGAAGAGCTCGTCTCGATACATAAAGGATGGTGGTTACCTGTAGTGAAGACTTGGACCGTAGAAAAGCTATTCAAAGTAGAATCGACTCGATCAGCGTTCAACATCGTTCATAAAGAGGACCAAAAACCCTCTATCATCTGTCTAACCCACACGCAAATACGAAGACCTTCCTCGATAATTGAGACGAGGAAACGAAAAGAATAAACGAAATCCTGGTATCGTGACACAGTGTGGTGCCTAGTAATGTTTAAAAAAAGTCAAAAAGGATACGTTTCGAATTCCGTTTTACATAAACCAACAGCAAATCATAAGGAGAATCTCATAAAGGAAAAAAACGGTTCCAAATAAGCTTTGGAAGTATGCACCTGAAGAGCATTGGGATCATACTGAGTGTTTTCAACTCGTGATATTGTCCGCTCATCCTCTTCGCCGTAGTCTCCACCCATCATTGATGGCTCGCCCACCACCATAACGTCCTGGAAACCCATCGACGAAAACTAAAACTTGAATACAGAATCTATATAGGAAAATCAAGATCTAAATGAAATGTTACAAATGTAGAATAAGTTCTTACGTTTCCAGGCATTGGATTCGCAGGGAACCCTGCGTTCGTTGGTGCTGGGCTGGCGTTAGTTTTCTTGTTTTTACCACCTGTCGTAGTCTTTCGTTGCCTTTTTCGAGCTGGTTTTGGTTTTTGCTCTTCTACTGGCGTAGGAGGTAACATTGGAGGTTGACCTGGAATCGGAAATAATGTTTTTAGGTGAATAGAATTTCTTTACAACATTTATTGCTTTCATGACGAGCGAAAACTAATATAACCCTAGTCACGACATGTCACTGCCATCATAATAATTTATAAACCTTAGCTTCTGATAGCTTTTAGAATAGATGTTCAACACATAAGTTCTGCTTTTTGGTTTCTTTTACGTGTCAGCACATCAGCACATGAAGAAATTTAAATGAGTAGACAAACACCTTATCGAATGAGGACAAAAAAGCTCACTCATGTGCTGCATAGCCATCTGTTGTTGTTGCTGTTGCATCTTTGTGTGGTGAGCAAAAAGAGTTCTAGTCATCGCATCTCTCGGTGAGAGCTATAAATGAACTACTAGGCAACTCGATATGTGAACCAGTAGAATAAACCCTGAACTGCAAAAGAAAGTATTTCTGAAAAATGAATCGCCAGGCACACTATCATCATGTCGCTTCTCCAAAACATTTGTGCTGGTTTCAACCCTGTGCGATAGAAGTTGCATATGCAGTGGGATAGAACAGAGAATATGAATGAAGGATAAAAAAGATAAAGCTCTTGGCGTTGATCTATTCCTGGGGGATGCGCCATACATTCGACTTCATTAAGCATCGTTGGAGGTGACGAATGACAAAATGCATATCCTGCCTTTACAATGACTCGCGGTGATCTACCGATATATCGGACCAGTGCTACTATCCTCCTAGACAAGTCTTGTACCAATTTGCCGACCATGGAGGGATGGAGGGCTTGGTAGGCCTGGGGCGCCGGATCGATCGCATTTGCAATACAGGGCGCCTCTGACCACTGCGCTACACGCGCCCTGAGAATATGAAGACAACAGAGGTCAACGGACGCAATAGTTTTAAGGGTTTAATTAACAGAAGACACCAAGTAATGGTAAATAACAAAGTTGATATTGAAGCAATAGGTTTAAAAAACGCACTTTTTCGAACAAATGACAAAAATTGCATCGTTCGCAAAGCAGTTACATGATTTTTCGACTGTCAATATCAATGCTTTAATATGAAACGATGAGCTTACAACAACCGAGGAACGACTACACCGGAAATCCTTGGTTGGATTGCGCGATGTGGTAATATAACGCTTTGATAAGTATAGTTTTATTAGAGTCTTAGAAAGGTCTTACAAAAGTCACTTAACAAAAATTAAAAACAACGGTATAACAAGAAACTGAAGCAGTGGTAAAATTTTGGAAAGAAAAAAAAGAGGGAAAGGAGCTTACGAACCTAAAACAATATTACGATGAAGAGAGCAACATTTTACACTTCATGTATTTCATCTAATGGAATGACCGTAAAACATAATGAATAAAAAGAATGGTATAGGGAAAAGAACCTACTCCTGATGTTTTACTTTGGCTCATCAGCATCTGCATTGGTTCCAGTATTCGACTCATGGAGAGGCAGGCCATCGTCTGTTGTGGCAAGCCCACATGAGTCAACGGCAACGACTTCTCCATACCATCAGAATGATGAATTTCGTATTCCTACAAGATTCAATATGAGTTTTACGATTAGAAGGCCACAGGAAAAGCGATTTCTTTCATTCAGAGAGATGAAATCTAGTTGGTGTGGACACTTGTTCAGAGAAATATAGTGAAATCCATATAAGGAACGGATTTTCAACAATAATGTAGTCACCTTCGTAATTTCATTCATGAAGAATTCCTGGCAGCTCTCCAATTCCATGCTCCATGTTCGTATACGATGGTTTAGAATTTCATCGTAAGGAGTGAACTCAATAAACAGCTTAAATTTGGTCTGAACCTGAAACATGCTGGAATGAACTGGACCTAAGTCATCATTTATGACTTCGATAATGTTCCCCCTACTTAACATTTAACGTCCGGCACGCACCAATGTGAGGAAAAAAAGCCGCTCTCAACATTGGTGAATACTAATTCAAAACCAAAACAAAGGTCATTTGCCCGACTACGGTGTTCTCTCAAAATATGTGAAGTTCCCAATTTTTCAAATACCCTACCAATCGAGAAATGGTTGCAAATTGTAGAAAACTAACGCTGCGTTTTATGTGTTAACTTACGTACTTGACACCTATTGTCCGATATGAGTTGATCTCCACTCACATGGTGTGAAAATAACACCTGGTTTCAGTTTTACATCAGTATAACTCAGCTTAAAGTGAATTTTATTGATTGGAATAGGGAATCATTAGAATCCACAGAACTTTGCCAATAAGACAAATCCTGTACTTATTCCTGAAACCCAAAAAACAAATTTGCTATCCTTTTTTTTTTCGTCCACGCTCGCTTTTCACAACGCAGCAGTTGCACCAGCGATATTCTTCGTTCATATTCGCGGCTGATTTTTGGACGTTTTAGTTATAGACAAGTTTCAGAAATAGGATTAGATTGTAGAAAAATCTATTCACTCTTGAGTAGATAGAGCGAAGTCGATTTTATAGGTCTATCAAGTTATCCTCGTCAAATACATAGTTATTGAGAAATTATCGGCAGTTGATGAAAGAACAGCTTTGGAATTTAAGTGTTAAGTAGTTGTAGACGAATTATGGCTGTCTTAGCGCAGCATCATTCCAAATTCACCAGTGACAAATTCGAAAACACAAATAACCTACACCCTCCGAACGGTTTACCGCTTCATCGTGGTTTGGAGGTGTTCCTGGGTGTCAGGCTGGAATGTACAGAGTTGAGATTCATACTGCCACCAGGGTCTCCCAAGTTGAAAAGGAGTTCACCATCTCCATCAAGAAGCCTAGCTAAGAGAACCAATACCAGGATCCACCACCGTCCTGGTATCAAATTAGTCGCATGGTGGCAAATCTCCCTCTGAACCACAAAACTGACGACTTCCTGTAGTGGTGACGACCTGAGCAGACTTTGGTTAGGCTGTCCTAGAGACTCCAGAGAACCACAATGGCTAAGCCAAAAAAACTCCGAAAAGAACGGAAATTATGCTGGAGACTGCACAAGCAGTGAAGACGAGCTATCCCAGTATCCAAGTAAGTAATAACCTACCCGCTTGCTCATACTCAGCTTTGAAATCATGGAGATAGCTTCGAAATATTTTTCAAAGTTCCAACGTGTTAGCACACAACATGGCACAGTACTTATAGATTACTGAACCGGTCTCGTTTGTGAAATTTCATTCCTTCACAAAACTACCGGATACCAATCATTAAGATACGGACTAACCGGCTTTTACATCGTTTCACATGCCCAATTTTTACTGAACTAGCAACAAAACGGCAAACGACACTACGTGCGACTATTCCACTACAACTATTGTACCAACTCATGCTTCAGTAGAAACCTTAAAAAAGGACTTTACTGCGTTTTCAGCAGGCCTGATAACATTTAACAAAGCTGTGAAAGGGTGGTAAATTTATAATACTTGAATACTACTGGCCAGTCCTCACTAGTTGTGCGCGCTCCAGCTTAATCTCCATTTTCAGCCCGGGCAAACTTTGCCCCAGGTCGTCACCACGACAGGCAGTTGCTGCTCTTGTGGATCAGAGGGAGAGATTTAGTGCCATGCGACCTTGATACCAAGACAGTGGTGGATCCTGGTATTGGTTTACTCTTAGCTAAGCTTCCTGATGGAAACGCCAGACTCCTTCTCATCTTGGGAGACCCTGCTGGGGGACGAATCCTCCCGCTGTACATCGCAGCCCAACACCCGAGAACAACTCCTAACCACGATGCGGCGGTAAACCGTTGGAAGGCCGCTTCTCGGCCTTTTGGCTAAAATCAAATCAAATTTATAATACGACAACGAAATTCATAATCATAGCAGAGTCATTTCTTAAACAATAAAGGAAAAAATCCGATTGGAGACTCATCCACTTCGTCAATTTTTTAGCACAAGAAAAGGTAAACTGTCACCAGTAGTACGAGAGAAAAAATTTCCCATCAAAATATGCGAACTGAAGAAGAATTTCTTTGCAAAATACTACCACCTTATGGACGAAAACAAAAATTGCATAAACTACGAAGCAACGATAAGATTACCTCTGCATTGGGGACGTCATGTTTGGTGACTTGTAGTACGTCCTGGTTTTCGTAATGAATCATTCCAGACGGTGCTTGAGACTCCCGAGCCTGCCCACGTATTACAAAATACATTTCCCGAATCTTACTTTCGAAGAATGAGCGAAAGAAGCGAGGTATCAGTTGACGGCCCAAAACTGGAAAATAGAAAAAATGAAACAAACATTCACTGAGCGTTGCTTGGATTCATCCTAATCACTAGACAATAATGGATAACTACTTAAATCATAAACTTAAGGATAACAGGAGGACTCCAACTCCAGTATGACGAAGACGACACACCATATTTCTCTGAATGAGGACTGTGTTCATCGACGATGTTTATCCACAATTTGGCATCGTCATCAAAGAACTCGTGAGAAAACGCATCCCACCATTGTGCAAAATCCTTTTCACATATCTAAAATAGCTCAGATTACAACCCAGTTCTTAAATGTATTCATAGAAGCATTACACTAATGAATTTACTACAATGTTCGAAGTAATATGTGAAGTTTTGAGAGCAAACTGATAAGAAAAGGCAATACAAACAAGGAGAGACCGTAACTATACGGCCTAGGTACATTCTAAGACAGGGATGCGACCTACTACGAACTACTTACCCCAGAAGAGTTGAATATATATAAACGCCGATTCATCTCATGAATACGAAACTCTAAAGGGCTTGGAACGGCATTCATGGGCTGTGCCGATGCAGCTAATTGGGGGCCTGGTTGCGAGGGTGGCGCCATTTGTCGCATCCTGAAATGAAAACGTTCACCTGCAAAACAAAAAGCAAATGTTGTAATAGTAAATTTGCATTTCCGTTTACGGTTGTAGTTCAAATGTTTAGAAATATTCAATGAATGTGCATTTGCCCACATTATAGGTGGCTGCGGTGTGTTACTCTGTGGAGGCAGCATGTAGGGGCTGTTCGTTTGATCGGGGCTGGTGAACGCTGGCTGAGCTCCGAACGCAAAACCGAAGTCTTGCGCATACAGGCCCGCGTCATCCATCATTATGCCGTTGGACTGCATTAACGGCTCATAGACAATTGAGTCCTGCTTGACCACGTCCGTTTCCACCTTCTTCTTGCGAACGCGCGGCGCTTTTGGCGCTGCGGGCGCATCCGGATTGCGCCGACGTGGCATCAGTCCTTCAAAGTATGCTGTTCTATATGATAACTATTTTGGAAAAGTATCTTAAAGTCGCAGCAAGTGAAGGAGTAGTGGATAAAACGAGATAACGTACGAATGTACCAGCATTAGATTAACGGAAGACATCAGGAGAGAAAAAAAGTTGATAAGCATGTCGCACAGGCAGTTTGAAAAATAATGCAACGAAGATGTTTCTGATCTAAGAAAGTAAAATGGGAGAAAAATTGTACGATATAAAAGTGATATGCAGCAACGGAGACTAGCGAATAAGGCCATTTTGTACGCCGCTAAAAGGGCACATATCAAGCCCATACAAATGTATGTATGTGTACGAAGGTGGCAAAAAACACTTGCTGAGCACAACCCTACAGTTTGGTTAATTGTTAGTTCTGTAAACTCACAACATTCTGGAACACATAGACAGTTCAACGATCTTCAGCAGCCCGGTTACCACAAGAATAGGAACAAAAACAACAGCAAAGTTCAGCGCTGCTTGCACACAACATCATACTTGATCAAAAATACAAAAGTAGACCTCTTTAGTTAGCTACAAGTCAGAACCATAGCTAAAGCCTTTCCTGCAACACTGTAAGAATTCTACTTGCAAATCATTGCTTATTGAGCGAGGTTTCGCAAGTAAATTACCCTTTGCCAACTTTTTCTACAGAAAGGAATTTCTATCCTGGACGACAACAGCCCTGCTTCGACAGCAAGAAGGCTTGAACGTCTTCAAAACTTCCAGAAAAAAACCACGAATGTTTCGCAAAACATAAAGCAAGTTCCGACCCGGAAGTTCAGCGTGTCAGCAGTCTTCGATGTGATCGGCCGAGAAATATGAAAAATAGAAGTGGCAAGGGGCTGACACTTGTCCTACGTACTTCGTATGATGTGAACGCGTGAAAAAAGGAGTGCAACGGAGATAAAATTCGAGGATTAGAGCAGCGAATTCTGACAAGCATGAAATTTTGATAACACTGAGGACAATGGTTTTCGGGTCAACATGTCTAGCAAAACAAGGGATCGATGAGTGAGCAGTGCGGGTGAGAACGAGAGGGAGCGGTGAGAGTGGGAGCGAAGGGAGCGCGAGGGGGAAGGACACGAAACGAGGAAAGCAGAGCAACGGAAGATCGGGGTCGAACTTTCTTCTAGATCATCATTCGTTCACAAGGCATTTAACAACCTGAAGGTCGACTAGCCAGCAGTCAGCGATCTCGTAGACGATTGTCGCCGACTACGTCGTGCTGTAAAAGTTCGTCATCGTCGTCGTAAACTATATTCTTCATTTGCTCTTCTCTTGCAATCAACCTTCTATTCACACGAACTGACGACGTCCATGAATGGGCAAAACATCGCAAGGGTGCAGGTACTGAGTGAGAATGCTACGCAACTATGTCTAAGTTGAAAGTGGTAAGTCGAGAAAGATAAAGCCCATAACTCAGCCCTCGATTGTGCTCGGATAGAAAAATAAGATAGTCTCTCAGAGCTTGCTATGTTTTGACACAAATTCATAGTAGTGTGACGAAAGTGCTACTTCAGATTTACAGACAGACAGATTTACACGGATGCGACGTAAACGTTTTGTGTAGCGGAAGTATAGCTGCACATAGTTCGGATATGAGCTAAAGCTAACCTATGCGTGTTATATCGCAAAAGGGAGAGAAAGGACTAAGAAGCCACCTTTTCGCATACGGATCAGAAAATACCAAAGACAAAGAAATGAAGAGCTATTGTTATGATGGTAATGACGAATAGACAAGAGCAACGTCAATGCTGATACCCAACGATACTCAGAGAATTCGTCGGAAGAAGACGCTGAGTGCTACAGGGGTTACTAAAGGTACGTGCAGATTAGGAATGTAGGTGAACGAAACCAAAACGAGCCAAAAAATATGTTAGAGGAAATCGAGAACTATAGAAAAAAAGGAGATAGCAAGGAAAGAAGAGTTTTTCTCATAGTCGATCGTCATTAAACAGCGTATTTGGGCCGTTAATATCAAACCCACACAAACCAAGGTCAGCCCATCCAGCACACGCTAAACTGCGAATGTGACAAACAGAGGACACCGGTCGGGTGTCGGTGAGTGTGGAGCAGTGGATGAGCATCCATGACCACGACGTACGGGCCTGATGGTGGTGACTCAAAAAGTGTTCTGGGAGTGTGCCGAAACGATTTTCAGCGTTTGCGACATTGCGAGCTGCGGTGGGCGAGAGTACAGAGAAGAACGACGCGGCACTGAGGACGCAGAGGAAATCCATGCATGGAACGGGACGAATGCGTGTGTGGCGAGAGAGGTTGGAATAACGGACGACCGGGACGACGGGGGATATGGGCCGTCCGTCGAACAAGTGCACGAGCTGGAAGGGGGTGAAGACGGGCGGAACGAGCGATCGCCAACAGGACCAACAGGGACCACGAGCGGGAGCATCTCTTTCTCCCTCCCTCTTTCTCTCTCTCTCTCTTTTCAGACCCACCTCAAACGGGCGACTGCGTGCGTGGCGAGAACGGTCGGGATAGCGGACGGGGACGACGGGGGATATGGGCCTTCCGTCGAACAAGTGCAGGGGCAAGAGCGGAGGTGAGAGCGGGCAGAACAAGCGATCATCACGAGGGACCACTATCGAGCGCATCTCTCTCTCTCAGATCCACGCCGCAATGTAACCAGTTGCGGGGTATATGGTGCGCCCGTGTGTAATCACAATGCAGTTCTTCGGTAGCAAACGTTGGCGGTACGATCCAATTCACTTTCGTATAAACGAAATCAACTGGACACGTTGTTGAACGTTCTCACGTTGGATATAACCATGTGTCGTATTCAAAACGTGAATACGTCGCGCAGTATGATCTTTACGATAATGAATTCCACAAGATACTCAGCGTTTTCGAAACTTTACATTTACAGTTAAGGGTTAATATATGACAACAACGTATATAGGTTATATTTAAACAATTTCGTTATTGCATAACATCCACAGTGCACAGTGATAATAGAAAACACGAAGAATCGTACCAGATATCGTTATAGAATAATGCAGAAGACGAAGATGACCAATTCAAGAGAAGCATACTAGAAAATATACTGCTAGTAAAACATATAGCGTGTGTTAGCCTCAGAGGGGTGAAGACAAGTGCAAATAAGTATGAGCGAGCCGTAGGGCAAGGGTCAGTTGCGCGACGCAAAGCAACCTCATCCTGGGAGGGTTCAGCTCAACCATTGCCGGACGAAGCACGATCTGTCACAAACGGAATCTTAACAAAACTCATAGCTTCCACGGAGATGTGTTTATTTAGCACATCAGATGGAGAAAACAGGTCAATAAGATTTGAAAACGTCACAATCCTAAAGATGTAATATAGCGTTCCAGTTTTTGATTTACTAGTCTATTCTTAGTCATGAAGAAAGATAAGGCAGTAGGTGAAAAGTTCATACATTTTGATTTTGATTGCCACATCAGTTTAACTGGGTCCAATGCCGATTTGTAATCTTCAGATCATTCCCGTTAACGGCTGAATGCTGATAGCACCGCTAGAGCAAAAAAGTGGATGAGGCAAAACCAAAGCAAGGACCTCAGTCGGTCCAGTGGATAACTAGTGAGCCCCAGAAATGATAATCGCGGGTTCGAATGCTACCTGAGGTTCCGACTTCTCTTTACATCTCAGCATCATTGTGCTTGTAATATAATGAAACCATGTGAACTAGAGACTTTTTATAAACGCAGCAAAAAAATAGCCCGTAGTTCGCGTTAGCTTTTCATACCTCTAGATAAACACAAGTCTAAAAAGAAAAGTGGGAAGACACCGAACGAAAAGGAAGTCGTGAATGCGGTCTCCATAGCTGCAGTACCTGGCAATTTTGGATCTTTTAGATTTCACAACAATTATCATCAATTTCGCCCAGTCACGATAGTCGTCCAGGGTGTCAGGGGTACGAGTCGTGCGAGGTGACGTTCACTAATACCGGTTCTCGTTTCTGAAGTTGTATCCAGTTGCGAACATAGCCAGTTCACCCGAGCGACAAACACGTTTATGCATACAATAGATGGTCTTAGTGAGAATGCTAGCATACTGCTGGGGTCGTAGCCCTGTATTTTCGGCGTGTGCTCTATGGTAAACTATATAATCTAACAATTACATCAGAGAATCATTTATGTATTACGGTGTAGGTAGACGAGAAGCTAGTTTTATGTGAGTAGTGTAGGGAGTTCAACAAATTGACATTTCTTGTATGTCAGCACCACGGCGTAACCGATACTGGCGTTAGAACCAGTAGTTACTACACCTTTGTCATAAGCTGAATCACAACAACATAAAAGAAAAGTTAGCATAATATTTTCCCCTGATAGCAGAAAAACGTATGAAGCATAAGAGTAGCGAGCTATTTTGAAGTATGGTAAAAAGAAGAAAGAAATACTTATCAAACAGAAAACAGCAAAATTCTACCAAGAACGTTCTGAACAATTATGGCATAATGAAGGATTGATTAGACATTGTGGTGGAACTCAAGGAAATTCATTTCAGTGGCGCAATACCGCAGCGATGCATTGAAGCTACGCAGCCTTAATGACGAGTAGGCGTTTGCTGTTCGAAGAGAGATCTGTTGTTTACTGTTTGCATAATTATTAGACAACATATATTCGATTGGATTTATTACGTTTGTTAGTTAGTGAATAATAAAGAGCACACCCTTGAATTTCTGATGGCACTTGGCTCGCCGGCATAGGAGTCGTTCGGTAGGAAGTACGCCCATTCATCATCATTATACCACCATTCATCCCTGTAAAAAAATTCCGAATATCCTCTTCACAGCACTTGTATTCTACTGTTTTTTAAGACGAGCGTACAAAATTTACTGGAGAAAACGATGCCATGTCAAAACATTTCAACTACCAATACCCAAGAGTAAAAAAGCCGCCTGTTGAAGGTATCATTTTACGCACAGAAAGTTGGTGAAGTTTTGTAGAAGGTAAAGACAGAAATACAGTGCAACTGCTTCAAAAAAAAGTGCAAATTGTATGAAGTGTTGATGGCTGAAGACACGTCTACAGGTCCAGTAGTATCTACCGTATTCTAAAGCCTCCGTTAGAGCGATTTCATCGATGCCACGAGGCGTTGTTCGGACCTCCACCATTTGATCTAGCCTAGCGCTCCCATCGAAAAACGATATACGCATTCTATGTGGAATTTTGGACCCATATTATAATTCAGCATAGAACTTACACACTGTAAATTACCTGGTGGAACGGGAGGAGTTGGGCTACCACTAATCGTACCGGCAACCATGTGCTGCATGCGTTCGATTGGCGATCGCGCCGCTGACGAAGGTCGAGGCGCCAACGTGGTGCTTAAGGTTCACAAACTCTTACGATGACAAAATAGCGCATGAACACGAACATCGTGAAAGTATTTTAACGAGAGGAAAATGAAGTTGTAAGTCGAATTGAAGTAGTGAATAATCATAAGGACAGATTATGAAAACGAAATGGCAAAAATCATTGATTTCTCGTAACAATATCAGGGAGTCGAAGTGATCAAAATATTCTTGCACGATCCTTAGGTTTTTTTTCTGTAAGAAACTACGACTACAAGTGGAAAAATGAGAAAGATAAGTAGATGGGATGAGATGTTGTAAAGAAAGGAGGTGGGCAGATTCTCTATGAAAATCCAAGGATATTGTAACTCACTTCAGATTACACATTATCGTTACGGTTGAATATAAGCGAAAACAAAACATCCTTACATTACAATGAGGAGAAAGTCTCGAAAGCAGAAGGGAGTAGGCTATTGGCAAAACATGGTTAAATTTATAATATTCGAACGACGACTAAATCTATAGTTCAAAACAGTCTTTCTCCTCAAAGATCAATGAATGGAGAATGGAGATGTTGGCGTTAGTCAGAATGCTAGTGATGGCTAATGTGGACGAGACCTTGAAAACGGAAAAAATTCGCTTCCCTTCGTCAAGGCATTTCATCCGGGCCATGGACAAACCAAGTGAGGCAAAACACTTTTGACTGTCGTCGAGGAGCAAATACGGGTAGGGTATGTAAAGGGTGAGATAGACTGATGGATTCCTCGTACATTACCGTTTCAAGAACTTTTTGAGGTAAGCAGTTGACTTATTTTAGTGAAGAAGCAATGTTACAAGGTGCTAACATTAAATCTTAATATCAAGCCGAAACAGCACTTATCAGTTATTCAATTCGAATAAGTAGATATTCTCTAGGTCTATGAACTACTGCAAAATGTCGCGAAAACTCCACGCAGTAGTATCCGTCTATTACCCGGATCAGCTTTTCATTTCTAGGCGAAATACTGGACAGAAGTGTAACTTCAGCTGAATAAGATTGTCTTAGGAATATGTTCACTTCCATAGGTGAACTAGCGTACATAAAAATATTCGGAGGTAGTTTCAGCCGTCAAAAGATACTTAAACAGTCCAGTTCGCATAAACTCCACCTTTGACAAGGTAATTCGAGATCTTACGACAGAATTTTCCACAAATTTACAATGCCTTTGAAATTTCTAAGAAAAAATTTCGGGCAAAGAAATGTGTTGATCTTAAAAGAAAGAGTTCCGAAACGATTGTTCATTGTTGCTAACGAAAAACGTTTGTGAAGTGATATCAAGAAAACATGTCACCATCATATGGAATGGAAGTGGAGAGTAAACGGACCATTTCAGATTACAAGGTTCCTCTTTATTACAACAATCTCATGGCAATTCAAGATTGAATGGTCCGACTAGACTGACTAGCACTTTGTAAATCTTAATATCATTTTCACACAAATGTATTAATCGTTTCCATGGATAACTTCTTCGAGTTCCTATAAACGGATGGGAAAGAAGAGAAATGAACCAGCATCAATTTCAAATGAAGCCTGACGTTGTTTTTAATATATGCCCATATATTTTTTAAAATTTTATATAACCCGTCATTATGTCTGCCGTGTGGATCCCAGCACTTCTCACATTCGATTCTTTTCCTCGCATCCATTATCCACAAAGATCTTCCAACTTTTACGTATGGCTTCGGTTGCTGGTTGAGGATTTTCATTTCATCTTGAATATCGTAAAATGCTAGTCGAGCATTACTCACTGGAGTCCTGAGATGTCGGCCTGGAGCGTTCCCAATTGGATTGTGGAGAGTAATTTTTTCCACACAAGTCCGGTACCAACTTCCTAACCCCGGAGGGATGAAAGGCTTGGTTGACCCGGAGTAGAATCGAACTAGAACCATGCTCATGATGACGGACATCACTACCACTACGGACACTGTGCTACACGCCCCTGTCCGCCTATAAATACCATCAAAATAAAAAAACCTTCAAAGAAGCTCCTTTCGAGAAAGAAAATTAAAAGTACTTAGAATTCTAAAAAAAATAATTTTATATTCGATAAAGTATTCTTAGATATAACATGAACGCCATTAATAGTTACTTTAAATAAGCCGAACCTTCATTACTACTGGGTATTACTTTACTCATCAACGACATGGAATGAAAACATCTATCTATCATACTACTACAATCGCTACATGAAAATCCCTTTCCAAGTTCTTAGAATAAAGTAAGAATAAAATAGTGATAATAGCAATAATAATAATAATAATAATAATAATAATAATAGTAAAAATAATGATAGGATAAGGTTAAAACCACATTGGTTGCATGGTCCTCGACAACCGAACACTTAAGGACTTCCACACTTGAAAATGTTTCAAAACAACATTGTTATATCGCTCTAGGAGCATATGCGAGCTTTCCAAAATGTTACCCCCACTTTAGGTCTTTTCAAGCCTCAGACTTCCCGAAAAAAATCAAAAATGTCTGACTTTTTAGTTCTGATACGATACGAGCTGAAAGGATGACAATATCAGTGATGTAGTTGAGGACATGTTCCTCTGATCGAAATACCATTTAGTTAACCGTCTCGTTGTACGATCCAGTACTTTGTTGCGATGTTGTGAGAAAAACTGCATTCTGTTGGAAAAAATCTGTAGATTATAATGGTTTGTACTTAAGCATAGAATACGCTATGAGATGAAAACCGTTTATTCAATTTGGAAGAGCTAAATTGTTTTTGCGGACATAACAGTCACAGATGATTCACATTGTCAGAGATTTATCAAGCGCTTATCTTCACGTTAAATTCAGTATTCTAACTAAAGTACAGAATTTATAGTCAACCTTCAAACTAGAAGAGGTATCGACACTGAATTCTATGAAAAGCTGTCTCCTCGAGTATCACGATACTTAAAGGATCAAGACTTTTCTAAAAATCAGTCATGATCCCATTTAACCCTAAAAAGACCGAGCCATAGCATAGTATTGCATTCTAGTACAACGGCATGGCAAATAAGGTTCGCCATTACAGCTGAATACGAGTTTGAATGTTTGAGAAGAGCGAAAGCGAAAATGACAAAATAATTTAATCGAATCTGCAGGAGCAGAGCAGTAAATTTTAGCATTTTCGATATTTACACTCATTTACGGCTCTCTTGAAAACGAATCCTCCTTCACGAGCCAAGAAACCATGCAGCCGTCAAATCATTAGGACAGAACGTGTCCGAATAGCCGCCCGTACTGTATTTGGTTCTAAAGTCAAATTCGTACGAAATTGAATCCACTAGTTCGCATTCTTTCGGCATTTATTTGAGATCCTAACTAGTGTAGACTCGTTGATTTGCGACTTTTCTGCCCAATGATTTACGAAACGAAAGCTGTTCTCGTGCAAACGTGTTCGCATAGTAATTAATGAAAGCAGTGTGAATAAATGACGTCACAGACAAACATGACCAAATGTATAAGTAAGTGAATAAATAAGTAAATAAATAAGTGTGGATGCCTATAAGTATATTTTTACTGCACTCTATTGTATTTGTTATAAATGCATATATACCACGGAACTAAGCTAAGAAAATGAAACATGAAGTTAATCGTAGAAACTGAGAGGTGATAAAGTCATTGATAACAACATGCTATATAGAAAAGGATGTGTGGTGAAGTGAGTAGAGATCAGCTATGGCAGGGAGAGAGAAAGAAAGGATGAAGAGGCAGGAGAGAAAGAGAGGGGAAGTGGAGACGACGGGAGAGAGGGAGGGAAGGAAGGAGGGAGAGAGGGAAGGAGGTCGGAGTGGTTGACACTCCCTGGTGGCAGTATGGGTGCGGTGAGCTGTGGGCGAGGCGAATAACTGGCTGGCTTCCAACGCTGCGCGCAGCTTTTTTAGATTAATAGGAGCGGGCGAGCAATCAAAGACACTGCTAGACAGCCGGCCGGCCAGCCAGCCCAGCCAGCTACCACTGCCGATCCCAGCCCCAGCCTCCTCTCCTCATTTCCTTGCAACCGCCCGAGTCATTATTTCGAACGCCACACCCGTTCATCTCTATCTCGGTCGTTACTGGTAACCTCAGTCGGCGGGATTTTATCAGTCTCATTGCGGCCACTGCTGCATGCGTCGTTGCGCACGAGTCCCATTTATCCATCCATTGCGCAAACATCGAACGAATGAAGAAGTTTCGATAGCTTTCCGGGGTTTTCACTCCTTAGAGAATCATGTTCAGCGGACTATGTGAACACACTTAAGAATACCACTACTTGACTCGCAAACGAATAACAAGGTGAAACGATCACCAGAAATACGATTAGCAACCAGCAATAACTAGATACGCCAATTGAAAAATGGCCGTTGGTAATAACAGACGCAGAGAGCTAAGGGCGTCTTCGGCCTAATTGGATGACGAGGTGTTTTCAACCAAAAGAGAATTCTGTGGCATACCATAACCAAAGAGACGGAAATTTCCTTCCATCATAGCTATCTCTCCACAACGTATGAAATACAGCACATAGAATATGATGAATTTACGTTACAGTTCCAGCTGCTCAATATGTGTTTAGGTGGAGAGGACTAATTTATAGCCGAATCATAACTTCAGGCATGTCGTTGGAAACGGTCTTGGGAACGAGTTGTGAGCTATGAAATGTAAAACATACTTGCTAGTTGTCCAGGAAGCTTTTACATCTAGTGAATAGTTCCAAAAAGTAGCAAAGTACTCACCATAGATCATAAATTACCAGAGAGGAGGTAACCATCTCTGCTCTAACAAGCAACTACGTTAAATATGTTAAGGTCAAAGCACTTGTCCATAACTGAACTAAAACAGTCCCTACTAGTTCTAACACATTCTTTAAAATGTATAACAATACAGAGGATTACTTGATGGTGATCATGAAGGACATGTAGAGATGAAACTAGTATTCCTTTTGTGTGTGCTAGAAAATGAGAACGTCGAGCAGATGAATGAACGATGCCAATGAGCACTACACATATGATGAGGGCATGCGGATCGATACGGCAGGGATCAGCCTGCA